TTGATTGCTCTTAATTTTTTTATGCCTCATATATATCTTATGTAAATTTTGGCTACTATTACAGTGCAGTCATTTAAAGGTTGAATATCTGGTTTAAAGCACCCATTTTGTGTTGTAGATTAAGGAATGTTACATATGCTTCAAATACAATATATGCAGGTAAAAAGTGACTATTTTTATAAGACTATAAGAACCGGTAATATATTATCATCCAGGCAGGGAATTTCTTTTCTCCTGAGATGCAGAGGTGCCTTTTTTTTTTCTTAAAACCAACTTTTAATCTACTTAAACTGTGAGATTAATAATTACGGGAAACTCTAGACTCTGTGCCTTAAAGACAAATATTTCAAAATCTTAGTGACCTCACTGTTTTGTTATTTTTATATTTATCTTAAAAAACATAGTTGTCCAAAAGGAGCCATAAGATGATTGGTTTTTTAATAGAACTGCACCCTGGCGGATCTCCAGAGTTGAGTTAACTGCATCACATAACTTGAGCTTGCTTGGTTCCACAATCAACATTCTTGGAAAGTCTGCTGTCAGGGACTTCTTTAGAGTACTGAAGAGCAACGATGTCGGCCTGGAGACTAAGATGCACCTCATCTCAGCCATCGTCTTCATAATTACTCAATATGCATCAGAAAGCTGGACAATAACTAAGGATGATAGAAAGATCAATACCTTTAAGTTGTGGTGCTGGAGAAGAGTGTTGAACATACTGTGGACTGCCAAGAGAACAAACAGATTTGTTCTGGAGAGAGTGAAACCAGGATGCTCCCTGGAGGTGACGAGTTTGAAACTCTGTCTCGCATACTTTGGGTATGTGGCCAGGTGGGACTAGTCCTTAGAGAGAAACATCGTGCTTGGAAGGGTGGAGGAACAGAGCAAGAGAGGAAGACTCAGGGTGAGATGACTCAGTGACTGGAGAAATAGGATTAAGTCTGTCAGAGATGATGAGATTGGCTCAGGACAGTGCAGGTTTCAGAGCTAATGTGCATAGGGTCGCTCTGAGTCACAGGTGACTCAGCACATAACAACAGCAACAACAACAAAAAGCATACTAGCCTATTGAATGATTTTCATTTTAATAAAATTGAAGCTCAGTTATTTCTGAAAATAATTCATAAGCAATACAATTCTTCGCTCTCCCATTCTTCATTGTTTAAAAAATATTATGGCTTTCCAGTACTACACTCTTAATCTTTTCCTTTTCATAAAGACATTCCACATTTCATTTCATAGGCATTCCATATCTATGTTAGTCAAAGATTAAAAATCTACTGTGATTCTTCTTGACCAAGTGTGGAGAATAATATTGCAGCCATTGTATCCATGACAGAACTCTTGTCTCATATATTCTGAATATTTATATCAAGCCCCAGAGAGCCAGAGCTGCCAGTGTTCATGGTGGAGCAGAGCAAGTGAGTTTGCAGTGTCATCACAACAGGGCTCTGTTTTCAGAGGTATAATAGGTGTACGGGGGATTGTCCTAATTCATAGACATTGCCATTTTACCCTTTCATTTTACTTTCCACTCACCAAGGCTTTCCTCTTTGGAGTCTCTCTTTTTCCTCTTTTTAATATTTTTAGTTAAAATGGACATATATTTTCTAATCCTGATACAATCTCAAATTTAATACCTCAGTTTATGCCCATTTTGGGTCTCAATTTTTTTTCTCAATTTTTGCCGTTTTAAAAGCTATTCAGTAGCTTTTTTTTTTCCAGAGAGGTAATATAGTACAGATAGACATTCTTCTGGTAGTCCCTGCTTTCAGCTAAGATCCATCTAACATCAGCTACAATATCCCCAGTACCAGGACCCCTTCTAAATCCAGCCTGGACTTCTGGCAGTTCTCTGCTGATGTGCTGTTCCAGTCGTTTTTGGATAATCTTCAGTAGAATCTTGCTTGCATGTGAAATC